TTATTATTATTATTATTACTTAATTTTATTTATTTATTTTTTGAAAGACCAACAGCAAATCTGTAATTTGTTATAATGGCAGGTAAACAAGTGGGCAAAAACCGAGTTCTCCAATACAACAGAGTAATTCCTTTGAGTAGGTCTTTTTGAGCTATTTGCTGTGGTAAAATTCACTTTTCCTAAATAACAATGGAATGCTATTGTTGACGGTTTCATTTCATCAAATGCAAAGAATAATGGTTCAGAGAAAACAACCCAAAAGCTGCAACACTTCACTGGTGGTACAAAGTGACTTTACTTAATAAGACTCGAACAATTTTGTTGACAACTATGTCTAGTTGGCAAATTTTATCAAATGGAAAAGACAAAAGCAACAGTTAAACATGTTATGAGGAAAATGTTCAAAGCAACACAAACAGGCAGCAAAAATACACAAGCAGCAAAGGGGTGAAATAGCTGTATTGAAAGAAAAAAGTTCTTTTTTCTTTAAAGTTCTTTGCTTTTACCAATTTGTCCAATTCTTCCTTTTCCCACTCTTCTGTCTCCTTGACAACTTCCTGTTCCTGTTTGGAGCAAACACGAATGAAAAGCAACGCTCACAGTGAGGCAAAGTTCAGAGGTATTGACACTTTTTTCTTAACAGCAGGTCACAAAGGAGGTGCCTCTGTAAGTGTGTGTGTGTATGAGAGAGAGAGAGAGAGAGAGAGAGAGAGAGAGAGAGAGAGGGGGGGGGGCAACAGCATGTGAGCAAGAAAGGGAGACTGTGTGTGTGTGTGTGTGTGTGTGTGTGTGTGTGTGTGTGTGTGTGTGTGTGTGTGTGTGTGAAAAAGTGAGAAGGAATTTTTTTCATTTGTAGAATTCAGTGCAAGGGTGAGATAGCGAATAAAGACCACCATTTACAAACAATGCTTTGGGCACAGGATAATAAACACACTGTACTCATGCAACACAAGATAAAGTGAACCAATCAGAGGCAATCTATCCCATACTGCAGTGAAGAACAATACCAGCCACAAAGCACTGTGACAGCACTGGTTCATTAACGCTAAATATATATTAGGCAAAAACATATAAACTTTAAGGCAGCAAACACAGTGAACAAGAAAAAACAAACAGCACTACTGATTTTTCATATCTACACTTGATAGATGATTGTTAGGTAGACAAACAAGTTTTACTGTTTAAATTGAATTTCTCCAAATTTGCAGCTCAAAATCTAGTCAGTTCAATGAAAAAGTTTGTTGCTATAAAATGTCTTTAAAACCCCAATACTTAAGTTGCCTGCTCTTTTACCCTTTAACCTATGAGCCTAACATCATGGTACTTAACCTTTAACCTTTGACCCTAACATCCTGGTATTTAACATTTGACCCACTTACCTGTCTTATAAGAGCACTTTCTTCATCATCTCTATCTAAACTTGAAACTGAACTGCTGAGCGAGTTTGGCGTCATTCCGGCAGCAGGCATCATCTGTTCTACCAGCACAGGATCGTAACCATCGCAAATTAGGACTGTCAGGTGGTCTCCAACACTACGTAAGGCACGCACGGCTTCCACATGCGATACTCCCAGTAGACTCTGTCCATTGACCTATAGGTGGCAGTAGTAACCATGAAGTTTTGACATATTAAACTTACGAAAAAACAAATATGTACCAAGAGGCATTGTTTGCATTTTCTTCACTATAATGTGTATTCTATACATTTTTCAAAATGGATGTCTATAGATATGCCTCTTATTCTTTTACTTATTCTTTTACTGATACCAACTTTTTTGTTTAGTCACGTCAAAGTAAGTTCTTATATTTATGTTCTAATTTTCAACCCTGTGCCAGTAAGGGGCACTTATGCACAGTGTGCAACTACCATTTTCTCTTCCATTATTAAAATTTATTTCCTCCTTTTTGATAACCTTTTGCCTAGCCATGATAACTGACCACTGGTCACCTACCTCCAGTAACCTCTGTCCTAACTTCAGCCTTCCATCTCTTCCAATGGCACCATTGTTATTTATCTGGCAATAAATAAATAAATAAATAAATAAATAAATAAATAAATGGCTTACGGTCAAAGTTAAAAAGACTTTTAATCATTATAATTTTTTTCTTGTGAAGGGAAAACTACAATCCTAAGGATTTCTTTAATTTCACATGTCAAATGTTGATTAAATTCTTATTTGGGCAATGAACAAAAATAAAACAGCTGATACTGTTTACCATATATCCCATTCACACCATGGCTGCCTTACCTTAGAAATAAATATTCCCTCGTCCGTTTTGTCAAGTGGATTCCCAGGGTGACTCCTGGCGCCACCTTTTATACTCATTCCTAACTTCTCACCAGGACCCTTGTCTATATGGAGTTCCTAAAATTATAATAATAATGATAATAAAAGTAAATATTGAAATAAATTTTATCAAATTATAAAAAATAATTACATAATATCTTAAAGGAGCAATATCAAGTAACAATGGTAATTATTTTAAAGTCTGAAATCCATTCAAAATGATCAGTAGATTATAAATTATTTTTTAATTTAGACAAAAAATTGATAACTTCATATCAAAACCAAAACATCTCCCGAAATTCTATATATCAGTCTATTACCTGTAGGCCAGGCGGTGGAGGATCGTGCTGCACAGTGAGAACTATTTCTTGTACAGGCGCTATCAGGCTCATTACTGCCTCCTGGTGGCTGGCGGACTGTATGTCTTTACCATTCACCTGAAATATACACTCACAATAAATAGGCTCTCTGAGAAAAATATCTCTAAAAAATTATCAACTGAGTACTTGGTTCAAGAATAGGCTAACAATATAGCCATATGTCCTGAATAATGTTGGTTTTTTCAAGGTGGAAGATGAATTTTATCTTTTCAGAAACAAAATATTTTTTTGACCATCTTTACATCAGAAGCTGCATGCAGAACAGTGGACTAACTAGTCTGAGGGTCAAGTATGGCCGACCTTCTTGAATTCTTCCCCACATTGAATCTATTCAGTGTCTACTGGGGGATTAGACAGCAAGCTTTTTAGTGGGTCACCAGATTTGAACCGCAGGTTAGTTGGTCCACTGTTCTGATTTCAGCCAGAGGGAATGAAAAACCTATTTCACAACATACTGCAAGTGATTGTTACTTTCCACTAAAGAGCCTCACCATGGTAATAACCAACTTACAGCTATAATGCGATCCCCTATTCTTAGCTTTCCTGTTTTTGCTGCGGCACCCTCAGGGACAATCTGCAAGTGTGAAAGAATAGTTTGAGTTATTTTTTTTTCCTGTTTCATCAGAAACACACACATAAATATTACAAGTAACTACTGAGCATCTCTCAACATCATTTGAGATAAACAACACAAATCGTGAATTTAGAAGTAATCCCAATCATTGGAACCAATATGATTGTCATGATGTACATTTCGAGAAAAATAGATGTATCAGTTTAAGTCTGGTCTGCACTTAAATGAAAGCAGTGATGGAAATGGCTGAAACAGTGCACACAAATCAAGTTTGGTCGTAATTAATTATACAAGGCCGTATCAAATCATCTTTATCTCATCATTAACATCAATTTTTGTTCACCTCTGATACAAACTTGCCAAATTAATTCATAAATTTTTGCACAGAAAGGCATCAAATCAACATATTTTTCTCACCTTTGAAACAAAGACCCCTGGTTTCTCGACATCAAAGGGGTGACTAGAGTGGTCAGAGCCCCCGACAATACTGAGACCTAACGGACCCCCTGCTTTCTGAATGTGTACATCCTGAATATAAAATATTAAAAAAATTAGGCAAATTATTTTTTCTTATGCTTTTTAGTCTGCGCCATTCAACCTAACTTTTTAAGAACAAAATTTATGTTTCATTCAACCCAATTCTCCAAGAATAAAATTGATGTTATTTTCAAAGCCATTCACTTCATCCTCCTTAAGAGTCACGTTAAATTCAATTAACTTCAGATCTTCGACTAAGTGTCTAAAGAAGATGAGAAACTAAAGGACAAATATAAAACTAACAGCACCTTTGAAAAAACATTAACTCATTAATTTAAAACAGAAGGAGTAGTTCTTCCTACCTCTCTAGAGTAAGGCACAAGTTCATTTGGACGATTTGAAGGCGCATGATTCACAACTGCTGAAGGAGACTTGGGGGATGCCACCGGTGACACGTTAACAGTCTGGACCACATTCACCGGTGGTGATTCTGGTCTAACAGGCGTTGAAGCAAAATTCTTTTGTCTCGGCTGTGCTACTGGTGGAGCGATATGAACTGGAGATGGCGGCTGCACTTTCGGCGCTGTGGGTGAAACTTTAGCTGGCGATGGCGGCTGCTGCACTCTATTCGGTGATGGCGGTGAGATTTTATTGGTTGCTTCGACTGTCGTCTGCACTGTAATTGCTTCCTGTGGAGTGAGAGGTGGTTCGGCACTGACAACTTTATTCTGTTCTTGTTGTTCGCGCTTGAATTTCTCAAGGTCTGGTTCTTTGACGATGAGTTGCTCTCTATAAACCACCAGGGTGATGTGATCTGGCATGGTGGTCAACATGGATACAACCTGATCATGGCGGGCATCAGACACGTCCACATTGTTGATCTAGAATAAAAGAGTAGACCATTTCAAGAAAGAATTTAAGTTGTATTTTGTTAAAAGGTACAATGACAGATTCTTCAAACAACTGATAAATCTTAGAGTTCTGACCACTGCAATATTTCAGTGTCTCAAGGTCAAGGCTACTTTAACACCAATAGCCTCGTTCTCAAATGACAATAAAATAATGGAATGGTTTTCAAAAACTGGTGCTAAAATTTGGCCAAAGAACAGCAGGCATCATCTTATTCAGTACAAATTATATGTCAAAAATACCTAAAGAAGTGATATTACATGTATATATTTTAGTCATCCAGCAGCATTTGACATAACCAAAGTTTAAAAAAATTTAAATAGTGGATTTGCTGAAGTTGCTGAGAGGGAGATGCAACATCAATGAGACTAAATTGTAAAAAAAAAAAAAAAAAAATTAAAACTTCCTTCATGCCCAAATAAGTCTCAACACATAAGTCTTCAGTACCTTGTGGTTAGAAAAAAATATACCACTCACCGAGAGAATCCTGTCCCCTACCATCAACTGCCCGTCCCTGTCAGCAGCGCCACCTTCTGTTATTCTAGAGATGTAAATAGCCTGGAATGAGACAGTATTCTATCGTTAACAATCTATGTCAAACTTTTTCAATGACAACACTGCACAAATAAGCACATTCTCAATGTATTTTTAAGCATTAACATAATAGCAATAGTTCAGTTGGGACCAATTCCATTCTAGGGTCGCCAAAGGCGCTGTAACAGTTCTAAAAATTGCTAAGTGCACATGTCAAAAACATACAAGCTTCATAAAAATTATGCAAACAAAAGGAAATATAAGTCAATAATGAATAAAACTTTCGTAAAATATCTAAGGCTGCCTCCCTGACACCTCTGAAATTGCACTAACAATGCCCATATGACCTTAATGCACCCCCCCCCCTCTAATTTTTCTTTTAATTCTAGAAATTGCAGTTATTTCCCCTTATTTATGGAATATATACCCTATCCAAATTGGTTAACAATATCATTTTCAAGCTCTTAACTTCTTTTTTTTAAAAAACCATATTCAATCTCCATTTAGAGAGTGGGTAAAAAAGCATGGGTCAGTTTCTTTATATCTAAGTTTTTTTTTTTTTTTTTACAATTTTGTTCAAACCTTTGATTTTCATTTGCAAGTTACATAATAAAGTAATCCTGATTAAAATATGGCAGCAAAGGCCTGGATGCATTTGTTTGATGCAGACATGTGTATTGATCAAAAAATTTAATAAGCTAACAGAAATTATTTGTAACAGAAAGCTACACATATTCATTATAAAACGGCGAATAAGAAAAAGCAAGAGCGAGATTGCACTTTAGGGTGTGAAATAACAACAGAATTTGTTCAACTGCTTTAGAAAAATAAATTACTAAATAATAAACAAACAAAAATAAATTGAATAGCACTGATAGTTATAACATTTGAAAAAATGAAAAGTATAAGCAATAATAAAAAATTAACACCAAAAACGGCAAAAATAACAACATCAAATATTGGAACACTGGCTGGTGTCCATAAACCATGACCTGCAGGTATTTTTCATTTCATAAGCAAAGAACAAGGATGTTGTGTTCAGATTTTGCAGGGCTTCTTGAGGGGTGGCTCCATCTGTCATTATTTTTAGCAGCACTAGTTCCTAGCGGGTTTGGCTTTCGCAGGACACAAAGCAGCCTTCTGACTAGGGCCATTTTAGACACAAAAACGGTCTCAATACATGAACCGTTCAATATTTACAATGCAATTTGGTTGCCATCTGCTGACATGATTAAGACCCATTTTCAGTCCAAAATAGCCTTAGTCTGAATTCTTGATTTTTAGCCCAAATGGGTATTTATAATCAAAGGTATTTTTAGCCCAAAAGGGTATTTAAAATCAAAGGTATTTTAAGATATATATATAATAGTAGGATATTTGTAGGATATCATTATTTGTAAAATATCAAAGGGTTTCCACTGGCTACCAAATGACATCAAAAGATATCTGTAGGACGTAAAACAATATCACAATATCAATTATCAAAGGATATCATAGCTAGGATTTGTATGCTAGGTAGAAATAGGATATAAATATTGGTAGGATATCAATTGATAACGGAAGGGTTATCTGTAGGTTATCAAATAAAACTTATGGTAAATCATAGAATATCTGTAGGCTCACAAATATCTGCAGGATATCAAATTTTAAAGATATCTATAGGGTTTAAAATATTGGTAGGATGTCATAGGCAGTCTTTGGAACATTAACATCAATAAGCACAACAAGCATGCGACAACATACCTCCAGAAAAGAGAACCTCTGCCAGACAGAAGCAGCATAGAGAAAACCAAGCACACTTTATATATCACGGATATCCATTTGAGATTTTAATCCTAACTCACAATTCTTATGTATATAAGTTATCTTATGTTTTTGTATATTTTTTTTTAGTGACTACGTTATTAAGTCAAGTTTTGACCACTTGTTTTACTGGTTTTAGATATTTATAAACAAATCACAGCAGTTACATTTTTATAGTTCTTCATTTCTATACCTGACTGAAAGCTATTAAATAATTTCCAGAGACCTTATTTGTCTTATGCTGTCTTTTTTTTATCAGATAAATTGTAAATAAATAAATAAATAAATGAATGAATGAATAAATAAATAAATGAATGAATTAACTTGCCAGACATCATCAAGGCCGAACATCCAACTTTTAAACAATTAGCTGCTACACTGCCAAGCTCAGCAATATACAAATGTTTTCCAAATAGCCAAAAACGTGATCAAAAGTACCCATTACAAATGTCAAAAGACATGCTGGACACCATTAAGGCCAAATTCAGGCCCAGATCAGATCAGATTGGGATAAAAAAAGGAAATATTGATGAGAAAAGGTGGGGGACAAAAGAAAAAAGATGGCCGCAACAATATCTTACCTCGTTTCCGCCTCTATACGCTGGTGCTGTTCCTTTTCCGCCAGCTATGCTGAATCCAAGGCCGTTGTCGTCACGAACCAGGTTCACTGTTAGAGTCTACAAATAATAATTGTTTTTAAATATTCATCAAGATAAAAAGTTTTGAAACCAACCCTCAATCAAGTAGGGAATGGTGGAAGTTTTTCTTGAAATGGTCCCCAATACCCAACCCCCTCTATGATATGCTCACGGAGACAGGTGCTGTGTTGCCAATCAAGATGGACTGACCCAACTTGGTCAGACTCATCTCAGCAGTAGTCTAAATATCTTTATCTATTGACTAACATCCCATTAACAATAGAATAACACCTAAAAGAACTAGAGGATCAGAGAGGCGATATCGCCTCCGNACTTGGCGGCGGAGCCGCAGGAGCCGCAGGAGCCGGCGGAACATACGGGTCGGGACTAAAACCATGGGTACCGCCAGCGCCTACGCTGGTGGTACAATAAATGGGAGTCCTGAATAATGTATAGAATGTGTAAATAGAATTGGCAACCCTGATCTGCCTTTGATCAACAGGCTATTGATCAAAGGGCTATTTCCTGAAATGAAAGCAGACCAAATTGTGAAACTACCCCAGAATTTCTGCTGAGATGGGCTATGCCAAGTTAGATCAACTCAACTTAATTGGAAACACGCCTACAGTGAGGTCTCAGATACAAGTTGGCATACAGACCACTAAAGGTGCATTTCGGCCTGCAAAGGATTTTGGGTTCTGGGACACAATGGGATCTCTCTTGTTCAACCCCACTCTGCACGAAGAGGTCCCACTGTTCCTCAGATATTCAAATCCTTATTCAATCAATCTGGCAAAATCATGAGGTTATTGGGTAATTCCTCACAAAATTCAAACAAAATTGTATAATTTCTCAGACAATTTTAACTTGAAACTGAAAATATCTATCTGGGGTTATTTCGGGAATTAGGTCAAAATGAGAATCTAGATCCCAAATATATGAAATATTGAAAAAAATGGGGTGTTGGAGTTTTATGAGTAATTACCCAGAATAACCTCAGTTTGAGCATTTTTATGTAAGAAGATAATACTCCCTGTTAGTGCTCTATTCTTAGACTATGGGTCCTACACAAGGGTGAAGTGAAAAAGGAAAGATTTCTAAATTTGAGTGAAATACATTTTCCAAGCAGGGTGAAATGATAAGCTTTGTAGACAAGGGGATTAATAATTAATAAATTAAATATAGTATTTTATGGTATTTGATATATAGACTATGTTGATCTAATTTTTTGCAGGTGTTTCAATATCATGGTGTATGGTTACAAAGAGCTCCATTCATTCAATGCAAAATTTATCACAAGCATACAATATTGGAAGCTTCCTATGTTGAAGTAAAAGTAATTTACTTTTTTCATTTTATCTTTAATTTGGATCTATTGCCTCCAATATCATCAAGCAAAATTCCACATGTGCAGCAAAACAATCCATTATCAAACAAAATCCACATTGCAATTCTACTACAGTGCTCGCACTAATATCCCACAATGCATCACAATATCCCAAAATTTACCACCCAACAGAAAGTTTCCCATAAAACCAAGAATGAAACAGAAGGAAGGAAAGAGAGGAAAGAAGCCAAATAATACCTCGGCATGAATTTCCATTTCTGGTTCTGGTGCAAATGTTACACTATTGCCACTGCCCCGCCTCTTACGTTCACTGTTAGGTACGACCTTCTGCAATAAACATGCCACCAGGGGGCTCCAAGTTAGTGAAAGCAAAAAATCAAAATAGCCACCAAGATTCAGTAAACATGTAAATAAACTCTATTTGGTATATAAATGTTAGAATGAACTAAGAGGAAGATGCAAGGTATAGAATAATTAAAAACAGAACAGAAACCAGTGGTTGGTTCAAGATGCCTATGGCTAGAATACTTGCAAGATAATTGTTGTATATATATATATTATACCATACTACGAGAATGAAAATATATAACTATATGATTGAAGACATAACAAGTCAAGAGTAACTTTACCCACAGGTTCACTTTCTAGATTGAAACAATCTCTTCTGAGTCACATGAAAGAATCGGCCAAAGATTCACGTTGAATACTATATATATACCCCATAAGTCCTGTTCAACTTTGGTTTAACTTAAGAGAGAATTTGTCTAAATGACATCACTCAAATCTGGGATCTTGAAATATAATAAAAAGGGTTGTCTGAGGAAATCCAAATAGGTTGACTTAATTTTCCAAACATTTTTATGCTATACAATGGCGTTTTTACTTTCAGATATCCAAATTGTGGGTGACCTCAACCCCTTTTTTAATGAGAGAATGGCCGAACCAATTTCAAGTAGGACTTCAATTTGTGTTTCAGATAGAAATTTGAGAAGAACCATTTTTTTCTTTTCTTTTTTGTTGTTCAAACTACTTTAAACAGTTTTTTTCTCCTATATCAATCTGCACATTGTGATTGGCTTGTCTGATGATGTCATTCAAACTATTCTGGGTTTCAAGTTCCACCAGTTTGAACACGCTTTAAATTACATCATGAACCTTAGGATAGAAAAGCTGTTTGATATGTATGCAGCCCAAAGCCATGCTAAAGTGAGACATGCTCCTCTGAGTATAAATCAATATCTGTCACAAATTTTTCTCATGGAGTACCTAGCATCAGAATACAGTGCATTTCTTTAAAAAAATATATTGACGTTTGGTGCACATGTTCCCTTAGCCCATAAGTGCAAAGGTACAGAATGTCCCATTAAATCAAAATTATATTTATAAAAAAAAATCTAAAAAAAAAAATAAATAAATAAATAAATAAATTATCATTTTAAATTGAGTCATTTCTTTGACTGAATTAGAAATGGAAATTTGTTTCTAAGCTGCTACCCTATGAAATTTAAAAGAACATCACATTGCGAAAATATGCTTCAAAAATATATATGGTGATTAATATTTTTCTTTTTTATTCCAACCACCTCAAAAATTCACAGAAAAATCACAAAACAATCAGCAAAATAAACCCAATACATAGGGTCTACTTCTCGCTTTGACTTCAAGAATAATATGATTATAATAAAGATGGCAAGACATAATATAATATAATAATCCACATCCACTGATTATAAAAAAATGTCCTAGCAGCAGAGAGAAAATATGCCAAAGAACTACTCTTATTGGTTCAACTAAAATGTTTTACATTAATTTTCAGAGTGCATATATTTCTTATTGCACTGAACGCCCCTCCCCCCCAACCTCAAAAATAGGAAACAAACAAAAAACAAATTTGTATACATCCCTTTTTTATACATACCCTGGAAATATGGAAATAAAAGTGGTGAATATATCACCAAAATGATGGGTTGGCAAGATTATAAAGAGGGAGTCTTTTTTCTTAAGTTTAATGTAAAACAATTTAGATAGGAGCAAATGGACGTAAGGATTAGTGCAGGAACCAATAAGAAATCACGTATCACCCATTTTTACCTGTTTATGGTCGTAGAAATCTCTCCACTGAAAACACAACAGCTGTTTAAAAATCACATCCAAATCCTATCATTATCAAAATCCCTAGTAACCATATAGCTGAATATATAAATTTTCTTTACCATTCCAAATATTCAGTTTTGTGAAGTTCAGCAAAGAATCTCATCAACTTTGTTATTCACTCAGAGCTACAACAATAGTTTCTTCAAATCCCCAAAGAAATCATCTTCGTGAGGTGCTGAAATAATGGGGTGGTCTTAACTCCGAGTTTAAGAACAGATTGAAGAAACTATTGTTGTAAATTCGTGAAATTATCAACTAACAACTCCACCTTAATAACAGATTCTCAAAATTCTGACTCGTAAAACTTACCGAGGGTTCCGAAGGTACCAACACCTCTCTTGCAATCACCATGGTAACGGTCGTGCCGCTCTTTTTCAAGGCTTCTACTGCCTCATGGTGGAACGCGTTCAGTAGGTTAATGTTGTTTACCTGAAATAATATAAAAATTTGCTTTATCAAAAAGCTCCATAAGTATGAAACACCATGCCAAAGATGCGACCATAAAAAATTTTAAAGGATCTTGATACCACATGGTTAATTCTTTCTTTAAACAACACATTATTGATAAAAAGTCAACTTTTCAAAAGAGATTAAACATGTTTTTAACCGACAAGGCAGGACATTTAACTATGATAAAGGGTGGAAATGTCATTTTCAAAAGTAGAAAATATGTTCAGTCTCTTTAAAAATGTTTAAACATAATATCAACGTTTTAACAATTTATATTACCAAAATTCAGTTTTATCATTTAATATATTTAGCAAGGACATACTGAGATGAGTTTGTCCCCGACTTTAATACCAGCAGCTTCTGATGGACCATCAGGGGTGACCTTGGAGATAAACACATTCTGGAACAAATGAGGTGACATATCTGATTATTTCTGAATTAAATCATTTGTCTTGTGCTATGGACTTATATGTGTAACTGCATTCACATTAGGATGAAATTTAGGCAAGTCAAGCTGGTTAAATTGAAAGAAGTGCGTTCTATATGAAGTCTTTTGTATTCATATTACATTGATTGATTTACCTGTAGAAGTACCAAGACAGGACCAACTCTGAACATACTTTGGCATTTTGCAAATCTTATGATCAATTGCTAATATGCATTGCATAAACAATTCTTGCGCATCACATCATTTACAACTTCAAACCTGGTTTCAGTTGGCAGTTTCTTGACATTTCAGAACATAAATATTAAAATGTGTACTTTCTACAGAGACAAAATCAAATTTGTCTCAAGAGTAACAAACAAACTTTAAGCACCAAAGTTCTCACATCTTTCCTTCTCAGTCAAAATCAACAGCAAAATAGATGTCAGTGCCCAACAAGATAAGACCAACCCTACCTCATCATCCCCTTTGAAAGGAGTGGATCCCTTTCCGCCAGCTATACTGATACCAAGGCCCTGACCTGGCTGGCGTTCTATCCGTATCTGAACCTCTTCTTCGGCAACTTCCATGGGGACCGGCTGCTCCTTTGAGGCGAGAATGGAAGGAGGCATCTGGTTCTCCTCGTCCTCCTGTGGAGATGGGTAAAATTGTCATCTTGCTCTTTATATTTCATCTTCAATTGTTTAATATATCTGGTTTAAGATGTCTTTATCTCAATATTCACAGCAAAGAAAATCAGATTTATATCTTATCTTTGACGATTTGTAATCAGAGATGAAAGTGGACCCTTAAAAAAAATTTCAAAAAACACTAGTGTTGAAGGTGCACAGCTCTGTGTGTGTGTGTGTGTGTGTGTGTGTGTGTGTGTGTGTGTGTGTGTGTGTGTGGGTGGGGGGGTGGGGGGG